TCCAAGTTGGTCTTTAAGCCTACAGAATCACCCTCTCATATCTGTCTGCCACACTGCCACTAAAACAATTCTTTTCAAAGGAAATCAACTTATATTTAGATATTTGTTTAAATATGCATAAAATATATCTGGAAGTATATATTAGACATTTTTCACATGGTAGAGAGAAAAGAAGAGGTAGATCATGCTAATATATCACTTATTCCAAAAGTAAATACATTAAATAAGTGTAAACTAAATTAAAATAAATAAGTGAAAGCTATAATGAGCAAATCATTCCCCAGATTGTAAATCTGAGTGACTCATAGTCACTTCTAGGTGCATATTCAAGTTCATAAAATTTCTTCCTAGGTTGTCTCTCCCAAACTTATCCTTGTTCACGTTCTGTACAAATTTCTGTCTCCATATATCCTTATATATATCTCTCTCTATGTATCTCTATCTCTCTATCATCTATGTATCTATCTATCTGCATGCTGTTTTACATATCTGCACATTTATGCAATGTCTTATCAATCTACATACCCGTAACTTACCACTTATCACATTTATCCACAAAACACGACTGAGTCATGAACCTTTCCAAAAACGATTTCTAACTTCCCCAGACAAAATTCCTTATTTGAAAGTCACAATTTCTATGACTCATCCTTTAATTGTTGGTTGGACTCCAGTGTGATGTAGTTATTAGTTTATATTTACATGGCTTTCTCTCCAGCTAGAGTGTGGGTCCCTAGAGATAATGGAAAAACTTTCACTTGTGTATCCTCCTCACATATTTCTATGTCTACCCAAAAATAGATGTATCCAGACATAAGTATTATTGAAGCACAACCCTTAGCTTTATTTTCTTCATCTGATATATTTGGGATAACGCTGATCTAATTCACACGAGGAGTAAGAATGTGCTCAATCTTCAAGTCCATGTATCAGTTCTGCAGCCAGACCTAGATCTCAATTCTATCTTCTACTCTTCTAATCCTTCTTCTACATACTACACTGACCTTCAGCCTGTAGAGTCAGGATCAAATAATCATGGATTGGAAAGCATGGATTTAGCTAGGAAAATCAAATTTAAACTGTATAATGCAATATGGATTCAATTGTTTAATTTTGTTTTGTTTTCATGACAGAATTCTAGAGCAAAGCATTGGCATTTGAATCCATACTATGTTTCATCTATTTTTAAGATCTATTTTCACCTATTATATCATCTCTGAGGTTGGAGATATCTTACAATTAATGGTAAAGAAATAACTGTCTCATATTTGAAAATGTAAAGATTATTTTTGTGTATACATTTAGTGATGGTGACTTTCATAATACTTGAACTGTGAAACGTTAATGGACATAGAGAAGAAAAGTGTGTGGAAAGAAGCATTTCAGAGGTGAATACTTGAGAAACTTGGAAACAGTGTCTTCATCTATCCAACTGGGATAATCACGGATATGTTATGTCTAATTTGAAAATAAAATGAAATTTATTCCTGTCAAAGTCCTGTCTTTCAAAAATAAATGCTATGGGTGAAACTGAGGCCACAGACTCTAGTGGATTTGTCTAAATTCACAGTTGGTGACATAAGCAAAAGCTGCAGTAGAATAACTTGCTGTGTTTTTGTTGTTATTTGTCTGTTTGCTTGTTTGTTTTGCATATGCATGAGCTTAATATCATTCCTTGGTGACCTAAAAAATCAAAACAAGCAAACAAAAAATTCTGATATCAGGGTTAACTTTAAATTCATAAAGTATGTTCTACTGTAGACTAACAACATCCTGAACATGCTCTAATTCCTATATTTTCAAGAATGATTCTGCTTAGAAACCATATCCCAGCAAAGTGATTCTAAAAGAATTAAACAAGTTGGTAGATGGGAATAAAACTTCAGATTAAGGGTCATTTTAATCTTTGTAATTATTTCCCCAGTTCCTAAATTAGTTATTTGTTTAAAAGTTTAATTCAATTTTCAAAAATATTCTAAACTTTACTATTTGCTGTTTATTGATTATTCTTTCCAAAAGTAATTTTTAATCTGATATGAGTAAATACTCATATGATTGAGTTCATTTACTTCTTGGAGTGTCTATACTAAATAAATCAGCTGTTATAGCAAAACACTTGCAAGGAACTTTGCTACTTGTTCCCATTAAATCTGATGTTTAATTTTTGTTGCTGTTTATAAATGTTTCCTTCACTGAGGATTATTGTATCCAGCTAGAGTCATAATGTAGTTATGTCCATGTATTAATATGAAAATGGCTAATAGAAGAGATGTAGTATATTTCACAGTCTTACATAATACCGATCAGTCTTGCAGAGAAAATTTTGTACTTTGAATGTTAAATAGTGTTATAAAATAACATATCCTTTACTCTTTATTAAAGAAGATGGAATAGGGACCGTGGCATATTTTCCAGGGTCTGGCAGAAAGATCAATGTTAAGAATATAATTTATTTAATATATGATAATGGATATATTACATACCAATAAGAAAGAAAAGGATTCTCAGTAAATGGTGGTGTAACATTACTATATAGTTTGGGAAAGGGAGTTGTACAATGCCTTTGTAAGTATTCATTCATTCAGCAAACATATGCAAAATAAATAATAACCAATAAATTTAATACTTACTAAAATATGGATGGCCAATAGGCACATGAAAACATGTTCATCATCGCTGATCATCAGGGAAATGCAAATCAAAACTACACTAGGATAGCACCTTACACCCATTAGAATGACAAAAATAACTAAAACAAATAGTATCAAATGTTGGAGAGGTTGTGGAGAAAAAGGAACCCTCATACACTGCTGGTGGGAATGCAAACTGGTGCAGCCACTATGGAAAACAGTCTGGAGATTCCTCAAAAAATTAAAAATAGAACTACCATATGATCCAGCTATTCCGCTACTGGGTATCTATTCAGAGAGCTTGATGTTAGCAATTTCAAAAGTCCTATGCACCCCAATGTTTATTGCAGCATTATTTACAATCGCCAAGATGTGGAAGCAACCTAAGTGCCCATCAACAGATGATTGGATAAAGAAGATGTGGCATATATACAATGGAATACTACTCACCCATAAACAAGAACAAAATCGTCCCATTGGCAACAACATGGATGGACATTGAGGGAATTATGTTAAGTGAAATAAGCCAGATAGAAAAGGACAATCTCTGTATGACTCCACTCATAAGAGGAATTTAAACCTGTGGACAAAGAGAACAGATTAGGGGCTACCAGGGGAAAGGAGGGGTGGGGGGTGGGCACAAAGGGTGAAGGGTTGCACCTACAACACGACTGACAGACAATAATATACAACTGAAATTTCACAAGATTGTAAGCTATCATTAACTCAATAAAAAATTTTAAAAAATAATACAAATAAGAGATAAAATATAGAATGGAACAGGATTTATTTTCACTACATTCATTTTTTAAGTTGACAAAAATTGAATATAAGTACATAAAAAAGTAAACTACATTTCAAGAAGCATGCCAAATACATAAAATTAAGTGGCATTACCAAATTATGATATTTTGCAACTATTAATCTCAGTGGTTAATGTTTTTTAAATATAAAATGTCTTGTAAATTATGAAAAACATTAACACCCAGTGGAGGTAGGAGCAAAGTGAACAGAAACCTCAGAGAAAAGAGTTTTAAAATAATTGAACATTAAATCCTTCCATTTTTTGAATTCCTCTTTTTTTCTTGTCTCACCCTACTATTTAGATTGACACAGAAATAAGTTATCTTTTGAATAAAATCATCATTAGGAGGTTTTCTAAGTCTCACTATATACAAATATATGTTATTATAGACATAATGTTTCTTTATACACTTTTTCTTGTTGCTTTATGTATTTTGACTATATCATTCAATTCGACCCAAGACAAAACATAGAATTAAACTTGAATGCTGTATCCACATCTCTATAATTCAGTAATTTATTAATGCAATTCAGTAATTTATGTCCATTCCTCACCCCTTTCCCAAATACTGGAGGTTGTATATGAATCAGTGTTGAAACAAGAAATGTGATTGAGACACACAGAGAAAGGGTGGAAAAGGTTGTTTCGTCAAGAGCAAAGACACAACAAAGAACGTAAACAAAGTTTAGAAGTCCATTTATCAGTCACAGTAGGCATTTGATCCACAATATTGTAAAATAAGCATGAAGATAGGAAGTGAAAGATAAAGTGAAAAAAGAGGCCTAAGTCAGAAATGCTGCTACTCATAACAATGGTTGTGAAATGATTGCAAATATATATAAACATATTACATGTAATAAAACATGTTATATGAGAGAGACAGAGAGACAGAGTGATGCAGAGAGAGACACAGACAGAGATAGAGACAGAAAAATAATTATACGCCAGGAATTAATGTAAGCTCTTTGCTCATGGCATGTAATTTAATTTTTCTAAGGTTTCTGTAAAATAATTTTTACTAATGTTTCTATTTTTCATATATGATAGTATCTGAAGTTCCAAAAACACCGGAAATAGCAATAACAACAAAAAGAATAATAAAGGAAGCAAGAAAAAAATAACAAACAGGTTTTGTACATATATGGGAATCTCAGTCTGTGCATAGACTGAGAAATATGTGTTCTTCATTGTAAAATAGCAGGGATTCAATTTGGAACTGAATAATATTTTCCATGATGGATACTGAAATAAAATGTGACTCGTGATTTCTTCATTAAGCTTATGAAGGTTTTACAGCAAACTAAATGTGTGTCTTAACAGTCAATTAATCATATTCATTTAAATCATTTTAAACTGAATAAAAGTAAAGAAGTAGGCTGAAAACTTTAAAACATGCTAAATCCTACCAATGTACACAGAAGGGGCAGAAAGATAAGAGAATCAAAAAGATGCACTTATAACTCCCTACCGCTTGACTGCTATGTCCACTTTAACACCGAAGCCCATTGATGTACCCTTTCACCAGCCCCACTTTGGGACACTGAGTCCTGTTAATAAAATATTCTCTAGGAAAATACTTTGCAGCCCACTACTTTTCTGAGAGCTTCTTTCACATCCTTGTTCCTCAGGCTGTAGATCAGGGGATTCAGCACGGGGATCACTACAGTGTAGAACACCGTGGCTACTCTGTCAGTATCCATATTGTTGCCAGAACTGGGCTGGCAATAAATGAAAAGGATTGTCCCATGGAAGACAACAATGGCTGTGAGATGGGAGGCACACGTAGAAAAGGCTTTGCATCTTCCCTCTGCAGAGTGCATTTTCAGGATGGTGATGAGAATAAACAAGTAAGAGGTGAGGATGATCATGATGGTGATGATTTCATTGAAAGTGGCCACAATGTATAGCAACAGCTCATTCATAGTGACATCAGAACAAGCAAGAGATAAGAGAGGGAGTAGATCGCAAAAAAAGTGATTAATCACATTTGACCTATAGGATGGGATCTCAACAGCTAAACACAAGTGAATCAGAGAACACGCAGTCCCACAGAGGTAGCAGCAGGACACCAGCTCCACACAGAGATTCCGGGACATGATGACCATATACAGCAGTGGGTTAGAGATGGCCACAAAACGGTCATAGGCCATCACAGCCAGCAGGATGACCTCACTTACCAGACATGTGCAAAACAAGTAGAATTGCACAGTGCATCCCAGGAAGGAAATAGTTTTGTCTTCATTTAAGATATTAGCTAGCATCTTTGGCACAATGATTGTGGAGTAACAGAAATCCACAAAGGACAAGTGACTGAGGAAAAAGTACATGGGTGTGTGAAGTCGAGAGCTGACCTGAATCAGTGCAATCATGCCCAAGTTGCTAAAAACTGTGACTCCATAGATGAGAAGAAACAGCAGGAAGAGGAAGACTCTCAATTCAGGGACCTCTGCTAATCCAAGGAGAATGAACTCTGCCACAGTGGTGCAGTTCTCCTTGGCCATGTCCCCACTTTATTGAGATGGGAGAACAATATTAGTAGTTATTCTCCATTGTATGATCCCAAATTCCATTTTGACTGTCTCCTAAAAAAGACATTAGAATAAGTAGGATAGTTAATTTTTTCCAGCAAAGAATTAAGACGTTGCTCTGGGGAAGTTTAGGAAAAGTTCAGGCACTGTAGCATACAAATGCATAGAGCTCACAGTTAAAATCACAGATCACACAAAAGCATTCACATCCATAAAAGCCTATACGATTCCTTAAACTAGTCCTATACACTTTAGAGCTTGAAACTGTCGTTAAAAAGACAGCACATATTATTTAATTAGCCGCATTATTTTATGAAATTCAAATCTATTTTCTGCTTTAATCAGTACTGGAAATATTGGGATCCCAGGAAATACTTTTTTATAATACATAATACCCTTGTTTGTTTTCCACTGAAATGATGAGAAATATGCTTATTTAAGTGTTAACCCACAAGTGTTAATTTTTTTAAAATATGTTTTAGATGGAGAAAGCAGATTTTATACTCCATATTAGCATTTTTCTAAAAAATTAACATGGTGATTTTGTTAATTATGCAGTTCATTGTCAACCATTGTTCATGTAATCGGTACTCAGATTCAAAACTCCTGTAACTGTGACTCTGAAGCCTTATAAAGACCTGGTTGACAAAGCAATTCACTGCTTTAAACCTATTTGTGGAACTGATCGAAGATGTGAATATGAAATTATTAACACAAATGCTTGCTGCTGCATGGCAGCATTATTTGTGATAGTTAAAACTTAGAAATAAAGTGTCATACAAGAGGAAAACGGCTAACATTATGGTACATATGTCTTATGGAAAACTATGGAGCTATTAAACTAATATTTTTGAAGAACTTTTAATGAGCGGTAAAATGACTATGATAAAATGGCAAGTTAAACAATGGTAAGCCTGATTGCACAGACAGAATATTATATATGCTTACCTAAGTTGCATTATGTATTTAATCCCCATAACATCATGACACATAGATATCTTATTCCAATCATTTTTTTAAATAACAATTTAGAAACGAATGAATTCTCACAAAACATAAGGTTTATGGAGTAGAGTATGGAAGGAGTGTGTGATTTTTTTTTAAGGGATGGATATGTTCAAGGCCTTTGACATATAGAAAATGCCAACAGATGGTGAGAACACTCATTTTTCCTCTCCCTCCTGACCCTTGGTAGATATATTCGTGACTGTAGAGCACTGGTTGGTTATTCCTGAAGGATAGAGAATCTGAACTAAACCCAACACAGCCAGGTATTTTCCTCCTTCTGCAAATGATTTCAAAGAGGTGAAGGATACGTGACTTAAGAAATCCTAGTTTGAAAACCTATAATTATTCTGATGACATGGTTTCTCTTTTCAACAGCTAGTAAAAGTGAGTTGTTTTTCTTTTCTTGAATTCAAAGTAAGACATAACTTTAAAATCCTTTTCCTGTTTTCAAGTCTAAAGATGAAAAATCAGCCTATTGATTATTTGTAGAGCAGTGGTTCTTTACCAGGAGTTATTTTGATCTCCATGGGACGTGTGGTGATATCTGGAGACATTTTTGGTTGTCACAGTAAGGAGTGGTGCTACTGACATCTAGAGATTTGAGACTAGGGATGCTGCTGAACAGTCTATGTTGTACCTGACACTCCCACCACACATACACACCAATGGCACATGCAAACACCAAAATATTATTTGTCCCAAAATGTCAGTCATACCAAGGTTGATAAACCTGCTATGTAGAGACATTTCAAAGTGTTTTGCACAAGGCCAAAATAATTCCTCTCCTTTCTGCTTCAGAGGTGGTTCCCATGTCTGTTTCCCCACATGAGCAGTCCTGAGGACCCCTTACTTGTGCCCTCAGCATCAGAGTGACTGTCAGTAGTATTTCCACGTAGATTTTGTAAGATTTCACAGATGGAGTTAGTATGAGAGAGGAGCAAGATGGAAGGAGAGAGAAATCAAGTGTTCTTCCACTTTGTTTACACTATTTTCCCTCTTACGCTAATAGGTGTTGCAAGATACTTCATTCTGAAGATTAAGTTGTTCCCATTTCCCACTGAGCTTGTCTTCCAATACAGAAAAGGAAAATATTTTCATAAACGAGTGCTCAGAACATGCCACGTCTTAAAACACTCTCTAATTAAGAGAAGGCTAAATACAGATTTTTAAAAATATGTCTAATACCACTGCCATAATTTACAATTCATCCTTCTCTTACACATGACTATAATAACTTATTTTCACAAGAAAAAAAATTCAAAATCCCGGGAAGTATCATTCATATCCATTCCCAAAATCCAGAGTGTATTCCAACCAACCAACCCGTGGGATAGACATTGCTTCCCCTGTTTCTGAAGATGTCATGATGGAAAATGTTTCAGGTTTTATGTTTTTTGTGTCCGTATATCTCTGGGGACTATGCTTCCTAAGCTTCCCAAAATAATCATTGATCTCTGTGGGACATCAATAAGATATCAAGAAAACAACACTATCTTGGGACTCAAACAGTAATGATTTCTATGAGATATAAACAGGGGAAAATACTATCACAGTATGGTACATGTTATTATAATTCAACATGATTACTTCCAGAGTTCTTGATGAATTGCAGGGCATTGCACGCTGCACCCAAGCATTGCTCTGTGAGCCAGGGATCACATTGCTGCTGTGAAATATATGAACAGGTCTTACAAACTTTGCCTGTCATACTCAAAAGCACCTTCCTAGAGAGCATAAATTCTGAAGTCACACCACAGTTCTGCCAAATGCCAGAAACATATGGGGGTAATGAACTTCTTTTACTGAGCATACTAATAATTGCTCACTTTCATTGACCACTTCCTATGTTCTAGGTACTGCTCTGAATACAACTATTAACAGATTTCATCTTTATAAAAATAAGTGAGATTGGTACAGTTATGTAACTTTAAGCATCAGGTAACTGAGACACAAACAAGTCTAACTTGCCCAAAGTCACACACAGATTCACTAATAGAATGAAATCATATGCTGCTTTTTGGGTTATGTCACACATACGACCCTGCGAGGAAGAACAGAGCTACTGAATGGTGCTGGAATGTCATACTCCTTACTCAATGCCAGAGACCATTAAATGGGATTGGCTCAAGGATCTCTCCCAGATCTGCTCATTTTCCAAGCATACAGTGTCTTCCTAAACCAATAGTGTTTAAATCACTGTCTGTGGTTTGTGCCCTTGGATGTACCAAACATTTCAAGAATTCTATGGATGTAATTAATTACAGGTAATCAGTTTTGAAATTCTCAACAACCTACATATGTTTTGCTAAAATTGATCCATTTGATAATTTTCAGAGTTTGAGGAGTGTTTCTGGGTCTCCTTTCCACCTAGCACTCTCACAATTCCATTTCTCTCATTTTTCCAAAGTAAGATTTCCTTTTTTCAATTCACATATTACTACTTGAATTACCCTGATTAGGAAAACGAAAGCAAACTTCCAAAACCTAAAACATAAAAACAATTTGAAATATTGTTTTTCATGAAAGTTGAAGTTTTCTTTAATCAAGACACTTCAAAACCATGGTATAACTTCTTGTTTCTCTCTGGCATATACACATTTCTTTTCCTGGAATTTGATAGCATGAGACGTGAATTTTAGCCAAGGCAGCAGTGTTTTGAAATCAGATATATAGTAGATTGATGATAAAAATTTTTAACATCTATTCTTTTGTTCTTAATGAACCCTGGAACTATTGTCACAAAATGTATCCTCCTAAAGGAGGGATTCTCATGGCAGAAAAACTAAAAGATTATCCATGAAAAGTATCATTGGCAGTGATGTTTTATATCATCTGGGCAACCCTCTCACAGGAAAGAAACTGTGCTTAACTATTTGTCTTAAAGACATGGCAGGTGTTTTTTGAAAATTAATTTAAATATAAATATTTTATTGAAATTAATTGCATGGTAATTATCCATAAATTGAATAATATCAATATAAAGCTCCAAGTTTTTTATGAAATGTATTTAAAACACATACAATAATACTATTTTAGTAGAATATTGTATTTTTTCAAGGTTCAATGAAATCAACCATATGTTAAATTTTCTAAACTTTTTAACTCTATTCTTTTAATCAACACGCCTCTAAGTGGAAGAATTACAGATATGCTTAATTATTATCTGGTAAAACTTGGAAGGTCTTTGTGGTAACCTTTTCAGAAAATAAGAAAGTGAGTGGTTCTAATGGTTGCATTACAAACCACTCCAAAACATATTAGTTAAAATTAATACCAGCCCTGACATCAGTTTACCTACGTTAAACCCAGCACATATGGGGCTAAAACTAAAACATTCATTCTCTGCTTACTCCCTGGCTTCCTGGCTCCAGAATCTGCTATCCTCCATGAAGACAGACACAGCCAAGAACAAGCAATTGGATTCGTTATCTCCTCCCTGCGAGGAGATACAGGCTGGTGGAAAAGCTGCTGACCAGCAAGGCCATATGCTCCCCTCCCCTAACAAAACCCCAAATTAAAAACCCTTTTAGCTTTTTGGGGAGTTTGAGATTTCAGTGTTAGCTGCCCTCTCTCCTTGCTCAGTGCTGTGCAATAATAAAATTCTTATTTTCTTCCACTATACCTGGTGTCAGAGCTGTGCAACAGGTGAGCCCTTCAGGTTCAATATCAAAATCAACAACTACTTATTACATTGGTCATATGAGTCAGTAAGTTAGTTCTGCTGAAGTGATCCTGACGTGGCTGATCTTGGCTTGATTTGCTATGTGTATGACTTCAGCTTGGCAGGTTAGATGATCTAAGAGGCTTCACTCTCAAGTCTGGTGACTGTTTCTCATTATCCAATATGATAGTCTGTGCTTATTCATAAAACAGCTTTTCTAAGAGACTGTGAAAGTTCCAAAAAGATTGAGAAAAAGTTACAAGGCCTCTCAGATGCTTAAAGTTGGCACAGTGTCATTTCAGCTACATTCTGTTAGACAAAGCCAGCCACAAAAGCAGCTTACATTTCAGATGTGCAGAAACTGATTCCACCATATGATCAGAAAATTTGCAAAGAAGTGTGGATATAGGGAGGACTAAAGGATTTGGACCATGTTTTCTACCACACTGGGCAACAAATACTTTTGAATGTTATAATTTCTAATATTTGGGTCATGAACAAAATTGGAGACAATCTAATTTTGTTTAATACATTATTAAAAAAATTCTGATGAAAGATCATC